CCTTATGATAACAAGGGTTGGCATATATTGGATATAATTGTTTTTGATGGTAGGATATATGTTCTAAACAGTGATTCTCAGATTGGGATATTCAACCTGAGATGTTGTGATTTGAGGTTTTGGAACTGAAATTTGCACCTATATCGGCCTTTTTTTGATCAGCAGGTTAGGTTGTGCTTCAAATGATCAGTTATTTGAGTTGATTCCCTGAACTTTACAGAATAGACTTGTCAAGGATGGAATGGGTGAAGCTGTGATGATTTAGGTGATCAAGCTTTGTTTCGTGGCAAAGATGGAGGGTGGTTCCAAGGTAATTAACCCATCAAAGTGGGGAGGACAAAGCAAACTGCGCATTATATCTCAATCTCCAAAAGTGTTTTATACCCACGACAAACTATTACCACTGACTCGCCAGAGCAAGGGTTTGATTGTGACAAAATATGTTCTTTGTATTTTCACACCAGCTTGAGAGTGTAAGGGATGACTAGTGCTGTGCTGTGGTTTTCTAAGCTTAGACAAGGTCAAGGTCGGAGTTTCTTCTAACTCTTTACAATTGTTACTTGTCTTTTCAATTCATTATAATCTGCATTGAAAATTTCAAAAGTAAACCAACTTCAAAGATTACAAATGAATAACTAAAGATTGCATTTACAATTCTTCTTATTTTTTCCTTTTACAAACCACAAAAAATTTCCTATATTCTTTTTATACAAAACTATTAAAGAAGCACATCTTGAATTTAACCAAAATAGTCGTTGACTAGTTAATATGATGACAAAATAACTTACCAAGCCAAATGGTTGTAGTGCTTCTCGGTACCTGAAAATTTGCAGATGGCAGATCATAACAGTTACTACAGATTAATCTTATATACGTATGAGTTATATTAAAATCATAAATTAAGTTCAAAGATCCAAACCAATCACAGCATACACCTTCTTAATTCTATTCTGTTAGGTGTAGTTTTAAGTCATTTGCACTAAGTCGAATACTTCAAGTTCAAAAATTGAAAAATACTTACAATCATTCCACCATATGCACAAAGATAGAAATCGTTATTCTTCGGATGAAAGACTCTGTTGTCTAGAACAGTTCCTGCAGAGGCAGCAATAATTGTACACCAAATGCTGTAAAAGAGTTCCAGTGTGAAGAGTTTATAAAGGCATACCAGGTGGAACATTATCAGGAAATCCAGATTGAAAGAACTTAGTATGGTGATTTACTGTGCAGCAATCACCACAAACTTGGGGCACCATTTCTCATCCAAAAACTTGCATGCCTGGAATTATTAGTCTTTTAGTTCCAAGGAGATTAACGTTGAGGTTTAAAACTTGTAAAACATTATTTAAAGGCACTGGGTTTAAACCTCTATGCTGGGATCAAGTTCAATGTTCAAGACTTGATTGAACTGTGACTCACTGACACCATCCCTGAATTCAACATAATATTAGACAAACAAACTAGCACAATAGACATCTGAAATTTATAAAGCAGATTTTGTTGCATAATTAAAAGCAGTAGCACACACCAGAAAAAAAATTAGTGGTTCATAATACATAAATCAGACTGGAACAAGTGTTTGAAGCATAGCCAAAATAGATGCATCATACAAGTCCCAATAGTTAAAGGAAAATGGACAAAAAAATCAGGTTACTAGGAGAAATTCTGAGTGCCAAATAATTTTCTTTAAGAAGCAGGAAAAACCAAGCAAGACTACCAACATCCATCAACGGTCAGAAAAGAAAGCCTCAAGCTGAAAAAACTGTTCGGCTGGGTAATGCAGATTCAAACTCGAACAAATGTTTGTACCATAGCTAATATAGAAGAACATCACAAGTCATGAACAAAAAATTAAAAAGCTGGGGAAATGGAAGGATATTTGAGCATGATGAATGAAATTGGTAAAGGAAGACCAAGGCAAAATCAGGTAATTAATCAAGTGTCAAAAAGAAAAAGACATTGGACACTGTTTGCCAAGAGCCGACACGTACTACCTAGGTTGCATTAATGTCCACTCTCAAGTCTCGTCTCCATAAGAAAACAGAAAGTGCCCCAACAACTTAAAGCATATTTCAATGGACACAGTACTATCTAGGTTGCATTAATGTCCTTATGGGAATGGGAACAAGGTCAAACAGCTTAGCCAGCTCCATTTGTCATCTTGCCTAACTGTTACATATTTGAATTCTTCCCCAGAGTAGAATGGAATTGCTTAACATCTGACGCACTCACAAACTTGATTATGTTGTATTCTGAACCTATGGGAATTTGACTTCTACTTTGGTTACTTCTGGAATTCTATTGGTCTCAACTTATTTCTTGTAATGTTAGGGATGGTTATTCTCCTAATATTTGGCTTTTTGGGTTAGCATCTCTACTACGCCCTCGTGGTTCATTGTCTTCACAACAAATTACTATTATGGCTCTTCATGATAATTCAAATTGCTATTTATCTTTTGTTTATGCCTCTAACAGCTCAGCTCAGCGCATATATGTGGCTATTGTCCCATGCGTTATATAGTAATAGCTTGCAATTTGACCCAAGTCTGTAACCTGGAAATATCCACTTTTCCTATCATACTTGATCAAGTTTTTCTGTCCAAGATGGTGGCAGGGGAATGAATCTACAAAAAAGAAATCAAAAAACAGTCCAACATAAGTTTCAGCAAATGGAAAGAAAGAATAAGGATGATTTAATAAACTGACAGCACAAGGGTCCAATCAAATGTGCAATAGACAAATACATCTGGTGAGCTACAAGGTGTACAAGACCACCGAATATTAGAAAAATAGACAAATACAAGAGGACACCGAAAAAACTATTTTTTTTTTCTTATGTTCTTAAAGACAAGTTCCATGTGATAAGCAACGCAGCAAGTATGAAGAATAATTGTATGAAAATACTATGAAAGATTTTTTTTTTTTTTTTTAAATACGGGTACTCGCGACCGCCACCCGTCTCACCCGCTAGAAAAAATGGGACGGTCCAGATACAGGTCGAAACTAAACGAGTCCAATTTCAGTGACCTGCACCTTATATTTTTCCTGGGTTTAAGGTCGACCCGTGGGTTTGGACCCGTTTTACCAAGTCTTAGAGAAGCAAACAAGACGTGTTTTGTTGTTATTATTATTTTTTTCTAATAGGTGAAAATTTCTGACCGTAGGAGGCATTTGGTTGGCGTTATACCGCTTATGAGATAATATTATCTTATATTTATTTACATTATCACGTTTGATTATTAAATAATATAAGATTTTGATAATCTCTTAAAACTAATTATAATTATTATTGATTATACAGTAGTTAATCTGAATACTACAATTTTCTTAGATATTTTAAGATTATTTGGTAATCTTAATTTTGTTATAATTTTACCTTTAATTATTAAAAATTTTAGACAATAATATCTTATTTTGAGACAATTTAAAAAAATATTCATGGATTATTTTATCCTTATATACAAATTTTTTAGGACATAAATACCCTTGAACTTGAAAAAAAATTATCCAAGATTGGTGGCTAGATTTGACATCTCTCTTGGTCATGTGTCGTTCCGCCCACTGTTGCTGTAACTGATAGTGATGGCCGGCAACCAGCAATGGCTTGGGATGAGTAGGGGTAATTTTGTTAGAAATTAAACTTTTATGTGGTTAGAGTGTTTTAGTAAAATCTCAAATGTATGAGTTTAAAAGAAATGATTCAAAAAATAATATTATATTAATATTTAAAATGAGGATAATTTAGTAATCTACATTATATATCCACCAATTTATTCTTTCTAGCCAAATATATCAATATAACATACTTACCAATTTATTATAACATATCCATTTAACTCATCAAAGAGCCCTCTCCAATAACCCCATGCTTTTCATCCCCGATTTCTTGCTTTTCAACGTTGATTTAAGCCCCCCCTAGGGTTTTTATTTTGTTTTTCGCTTTTGCTTTTGTATTTTGTTTTGTTTTTTTTATTGATTTTTTGTGGTTGTTATCGAGTTTGGCCGATTGTGATGGTGGTTTGGATGCTGTGGTGGTTTGGCCAGTTGTGGTGGTAGTTTGGTATGGGTTCTAGTGGTGGCTTTGTTGGCTGGAATGGGGTGAAGGGCAGTTTGGTAATAGTATTTATTAGAATCCAACCGTCACTAATTATGTTAATTTGAGGGTGATTATTTAGAATAAATAAAATCAGAGGTATTAACTTAGGATTTTCGTGGCGGGAATACGTCGTTTACTCTTATAACAAAACCCAAATCTGATTATCAAATCTTTCCCAAGCAACCAACCATCGGCAATCTTCTATCTTCACAATAACCAAATTACAAAACAAGCTCCATTACCCAAAAAAAAAAACTGACTAACATTAGGGCGGGGGAGAGCATTTTTGTTCTGTTATGGGAGGATAGGATGGGATGGGGTGGGGCAGTTTTATTGGGGTCAGATTGGGAGCAGTGCGGTGGACAATGCTGCAGCTCGCGAGGGTGGGATGGGTACCGGGTAAGGAAAAAATGAAAATAAAATTTTCAATGACCTTCATCATCGTTATTTTAGTGTTTTGGGTGAGAAATAAAGCCATCATGGAAGTACGTGGTTTCACGTTTATCATCTTACCGCCGCTTTGAAGTTTTAAGGCGGTGTTGAGGTCTTTAGATTCAATACAAAAATCTCCGGACCCGGACACTGAATGTGAAGACGCTACGACGTGTTGGGCTTCTAATCGAAGGTGGTTTGAGATGTAGGAATATCTCTACTTGATTTTTGAGGAATATTTCTCTTTCTAATTAGAACTTGATTTCTTATTTTATGATTCAAGTAGTACATTATTAGGATTTTATGATTTATTGTTTTAGTAGTATTAGGATGTCTTATTTTATTTTAACTACTTTTGCTAGTAGAATTATGATTAGCCTACTATAAATAAATGCGGTTATTATGTTTCTCAGTTATTCATATTTATCATCAATAAAATTCATAAAGTTTTCCTTGAATAATATTTTCAGCTATGACAAATATTGCAGGCACGTTGGTGGAAAGAGATAATAATAGAAGATCCAATGAGGCAAGAAGGGTCCGCTATAAGAGATCATCATCATGGGCTGATCTTCCGCAAGAACTTCTTGAGATTGTTTCTAAGAGTCTGAATATAGTAGACTATCGAAACCTTGGTCGCGTTTGCAGAAGCTGGAGATTGTTTTATTCAGAATTTAAGCAGAGTTTTTTGACATCTCATTCACCACTTGTTGCTCATGCATCAGGCCGGGTTAACAAGTATTGTTATTTCTTTGACCTAGCTACTGGAATGGAATACAAGAGAAAGCTGCCTCGATATATTTGGGACTTCAAGTTCTGTCTTGGTGTTTCAAGTGGGTACTTAATCTTGTTCTGTCTCAAGGCAGAAGATGTTTCAAGAGGTTGTTTATGGGTTATAAATCCTTTTACAGGACATCAAATCCAATTTCCTTGCATGCCCCGGCCTCCTTGTAGTTGTATTATGGATTATGATTGTGATGACCGTGGCATCTTTGCTTCTCAAGGTCAAGATTTTCTTATTATGATTCTTTCTGAGTATGGCTCAAGCTTGCAGTTATGTACTTCCAGAGATAAAAAGTGGAAAGAATACCATTATGATAACAAGGGTTGGCATATATTGGATATAATTGTTTTTGATGGTAGGATATATGTTCTAAACAGTGATTCTCAGATTGGGATATTCAACCTGAGATGTTGTGATTTGAGGTTTTTGGAACTGAAATTTGCACCTCATATCGGCCTTTTTTTTGATCAGCAGGTTAGGTTGGTGGCTTCAAATGATCAGTTATTTGTAGTTGATTCTCCTGAACTTTACAGAATAGACTTGTCAAGGATGGAATGGGTGAAGCTGTATGATTTAGGTGATCAAGCTTTGTTTCGTGGCAAAGATGGACGGGTGTGTTCCAAGGTAATTAACCCATCAAAGTGGGGAGGACAAAGCAACTGCGCATATAGTATCTCAATCTCCAAAAGTGTTTTATACCCACGACAAACTATTACCACTGACTCGCCAGAGCAAGGGTTTGATTGTGACAAAATATGTTCTTTGTATTTTCTACACCAGCTTGAGAGTGTAAGGGATGACTAGTGCTGTGCTGTGGTTTTCTAAGCTTAGACAAGGTCAAGGTCGGAGTTTCTTCTAACTCTTTTACAATTGTTACTTGTCTTTTCAATTAACATTATAATCTGCATTGAAAATTTCAAAAGTAAACCAACTTCAAAGATTACAAATGAATAACTAAAGATTGCATTTACAATTCTTCTTATTTTTTTCCTTTTTACAACCACCAAAAAAATTTCCTATATTCTTTTTATACAAAACTATTAAAGAAGCACATCTTGAATTTAACCAAAATAGTCGTTGACTAGTTAATATGATGACAAAATAACTTACCCAAGCCAAATGGTTGTAGTGCTTCTCCGGTACCTGAAATATTTGCAGATGGCAGATCATAACAGTTACTACAGATTAATCTTATATACGTATGAGTTATATTAAAATCATAATATTAAGTTCAAAGATCCAAACCAATCACAGCATACACCTTTCTTAATTCTATTCTGTTAGGTTAGTTTTAAGTCATTTGCACTAAGTCGAACTACTTCAAGTTCAAAAATTGAAAAATACTTACAATCATTCCACCATATGCACAAAGATAGAAATCGTTATTCTTCGGATGAAAGACTCTGTTGTCTAGAACAGTTCCTGCAGAGGCAGCAATAATTGTTACACCAAATGCTGTAAAAGAGTTCCAGTGTGAAGAGTTTATAAAGGCATACCAGGTGGAACATTATCAGGAAATCCAGATTGAAAGAACTTAGTATGGTGATTTTACTGTGCAGCAATCACCACAAACTTGGGGCACCATTTCTCATCCAAAAACTTGCATGCCTGGAATTATTAGTCTTTTTAGTTCCAAGGAGATTACCGTTAAGGTTTAAAACTAGTAAAACATATATTTTAAAGGCACTGGGTTTAAACCTCTATGCTGGGATCAAGTTCAATGTTCAAGACTTGATTGAACTGTGACTCACTGACACCATCCCTGAATTCAACATAATATTAGACAAAAAACTAGCACAATAGACATCTGAAATTTATAAAGCAGATTTTGTTGCATAATATAAAAGCAGTAGCACACACCAGAAAAAAAATTAGTGGTTACATCATAATACATAATCAAACTGGAACAAGTGTTTGAAGCATAGCCAAAATAGATGCATCATACAAGTCCCAATAGTTAAAAGTAAAATGGACAAAAAAATCAGGTTACTAGGAGAAATTCTGAGTGCCAAATAATTTTCTTTAAGAAGCAGGAAAAACCAAGCAAGACTACCAACATCCATCAACGGTCAGAAAAGAAAGCCTCAAGCTGAAAAAACTGTTCGGCTGGGTAATGCAGATTCAAACTCGAACAAATGTTTGTAGCATAGCTAATATAGAAGAACATCACAAGTCATGAACAAAAAATTAAAAGCTGGGGAAATGGAAGGATATTTGAGCATGATGAATGCAAATTGGTAGAAGGAAGACCAAGGCAAAATCAGGTAATTAATCAAGTGTCAAAAAAAAAAAAAAAAAGGCATTGGACACTGTTTGCCAAGAGCCGACACAGTACTGCCTAGGTTGCATTAATGTCCACTCTCAAGTCTCATCTCCATAAGAAAACAGAAAGTGCCCCAACAACTTAAAGCATATTTCAATGGACAGAGTACTACCTAGGTTGCATTAATGTCCTTATGGGAATGGGAACAAGGTCAAACAGCTTAGCCAGCTCCATCTTCTCATCTTGCCTAACTGTTACATATTTGAATTCTTCCCCAGAGTAGAATGGAATTGCTTAACATCTGTCGCACTCACAAACTTGATTATATTTGTATTCTGAACCTATGGTGAATTTGACTTCTACTTTGGTTACTTCTGGAATTCTATTGGTCTTCAACTTATTTCTTGTAATGTTAGGGATGGTTATTCTCCTAATATTTGGCTTTTTGGGTCAGCATCTCTACCTACGACCTCTGTGGTTCATTGTTCTTCACAACAAATTACTATTATGGCTTCTCATGATAATTCAAATTGCTATTTATCTTTTGTTTATGCCTCTAACAGCTCAGCTCAGCGCATTATATGTGGCTATTGTCCCATGAGTTATATAGTAATAGCTTGCAATTTGACCCAAGTCTGTAACCTGGAAATATCCACTTTTCCTATCATACTTGATCAAGTTTTTTCTGTCCAAGATGGTGGCAGCGGAATGAATCTACAAAAAAGAAATCAAACAACAGTCCAACATAAGTTTCAGCAAATGGAAAGAAAGAACTAGGATGATTTAAATAAACTAACAGTAAAATGGTCCAATCAAATGTGCAATAGACAAATCAATCTGGTGAGCTACAAGGTGTACAAGACCACCGATATATTAGAAAAAGAGACAAATACAAGAGGACACCGAAAAAACTATTTTTTTTTCTTATTGTTTCCTTAAAGACAAGTTCCATTGTTGATAAGCAACGCAGCAAGTATGAAGAATAATTGTATGAAAATACTATAAAAGATACAAATATAACCTAAGTAAGTTGAAACAAAAAATTGCAACCACACACAGAGACTCCCAAATCAATAGAAACTTTGAAATAAAATTTAACAAGTAAAAAGAGCCTTAGTGCAGTGATGGAAACAATCATGGGCAGAAATAAGTTTACCAATAATACTATACTTACAAAGAAATCTTACAAAGATTTCCATACAAAGTGAGGTGACAAAAAACAAATGGAAGAGTGAAACAAAAAGTCAAACTTATTAAATTCACTCTTCCATTCATTTTTTGCCACATCACTTTGTATATAGATCTTTGTAAAATTTCTTTGTAAGTGTAGTATTACTCATAAGTTTACATACATATCTTTAAATGCCTAGTCAAATCCTCATGCAAAGGACCAAAAACTTGATTCATTTTGGTGAACGAAAAATCCCCCCCATACTAAGCAACACCATCAGGAGAAAAAGGAACAGATTAAAAATGCAACTAGAACTAACATGCATCCAAAAGATCAAACAAATGAGAATGGTAAACAACGAGATCCTGCCAATCGATGAAAAAAAGAAAAGAAGCTACACTACAGAGATTCTTACCAAATCAGCTCTCCTCTCCGCCAATGTTGTATCTTCTTTCAGAACTTCAAGCGACAAACCATAAAGCAAAGGATTTCTTAACATATGATTAATGTACAGGTAAGTGTATCCAATCCAATTGCAGGCTTCTTTAGCATTTTGGACAGTCCCAAGGAAAATTTCAGATTTAGCTGATCAGCTAGTTTGGACACAAACTGACTTTCGATAGGGAGCTGTTGATTCATTAAATAAAGATAGTATTGGAGTTCACTATGACCAGTAATGATAATCCCTTCCCCATATGAATTATACTAAGGCCTTCCAGCACGACCAAGCATCTGCATAATATCCAGAGGACTAAGCTCGGTCCATGACCCTTTCTCTGGATTGTAAATCTGGGTTCCCTTAATGATCACTGTATGAGCAGACAAGTTCACCTCCCAAGCAAGAGTTGCAGTGTAAACCAACACCTGCACATGTCCATGACCAAAAAGATTCTCAACAAATTCACGGTCACCCCTTGTCATCCCAGCGTGATGAATTGCAAAACCATAAGGTAAAAGGTCTTTAATATCATTGCTTTTGACAATATCTGTGTGACTTTGGAGAATCCCATGGCTGACACTTTCCTCCAAGAAGCTAGCAAGGGTATCATTCTCAAGTGCGGCATCTCATATTGCACAAGCTCTTTTTGCTGTTTCCTTCGTGGAGTGGACGAAAATAATAACTTGATGCTTTCCAGCAACTGCCATAACCTTTTCATAACACTAATGATTCATCAACGGGAACCTTTGCAGCAGGTTCTCGACTGCGATCCCAATAGACCGTTGAGAAAGAGGACAGGTCTATAACTAATGTTGAAGTGGAACAACCCTTTTCCCAAATCCACTCGTAAAAATAAAGCCAAATCTTCATAATTGGGGAGTGTAGTTGACAACCCTGTCAACTAGGCACGCTCAAGCCAATAGGTTTATAGGAGTGGGCAATCCTCCCACTAAAATAAGGTCTTCTGGGTGAGGAGTTAGACCCAACTCCAACAAGTGGTATCAGAGCCAGCCCCTTTTGAGCTGAGTGATTGACCAATGGTGGACTGCCAAACTACCTTCATTCATAGGTAAGTGGACCATATGGGCTTGATCATGAGAGAAAGTATTGGAGATCCCACATTGACAAGGCACGCTCAAGCCAATGGGTTTAAAAGAGTGGACAATCCTCTCACTTAATAAGGTCTTTTGGGTGAGAAGTTAGGCCCAACTCCAACAAACCCAACCAATCGAATATGCTCTTTTGTGGTTTCAATTTGCCTAACAGTCCTGACAACAATACTTTCAAGCGCAGGCCCTCCATTATCATGAAGCAAATTAATTTCATCAATGATGAGCAGTTTCACAAGCTGCGTGTAGGTTCGATCCCCTGATTTTCTGGTAACGATATCCCACTTCTCAGGAGTGGTCACAATTATTTGTGTTTCTTCAATTTGTTGGCGCGTGAGTTTCTGGTCTCTGCTTAGCCCCCTCACCTTGACATCATATACTTGCAAACGATTAGAAAGATTACTAACAGCTTCAACAAGAGCATTCATCGGTGCCACATAGACAATCTTATAATTGCTATGGTTGAATGAACCATTTGGGTTCCGACTCAATGCCAACTGCTGAAGTATGGTAAGCATAGCAACAGTAGTTTTCTCAGCCTCAGTAGGAGCACACAATAGTATATTATCTGCTGAAAAAAGGCAGTCTCATACACTCTACTCTGCACCCTATTCAACTGTGTCATCAACATATAGTGATATAAGACATAAAGTGACACAATCAGTTCTGCTCCATTTTCTTGCTTAAAGACATAAAGTGTTGCTTCATTTTGGCTCATCTTGAAGTGTTTTCGGTCAAATACGAATCAATCCGACTGTACTAGGCTCGTGGTGCTTGCTTCAGCCCGTACAAAGCTTTAGTAAGCTTGTAAACTTCTTCTTCTTGCCCGGCTACCTCGAACCCCTCTGGCTGCTCAACAAAAATTTCTTCCTCAAGATAGCCATTCAGGAAGGCTGACTTCATATCTAGCTGATGAATTAACCACCCTTTCGTAGCAGCTAATGCAATAAGAAGCCTTATCATATCCAACCTTGCAACAGGTGCAAAGGTTTCCGAAAAATCAATACCTTCCTTCTGTGCATAGCCCGTCACCACTAATTTGGCCTTGTATTTGTTCATAGAGCCATCCGGTTCTTCTTATTTTGAAGACCCACTTGACACCAATTGACTTTTTGTGGACTGGCCTATCCACTAGCTCTCATGTGCCATTTTTTCAATCATCCTCATCTCCTCTAACATGGCTTGCTGCCATTCTTTGTCTTGAGTTGTATCTTCAAAGGTGGTAGGCACTTCAAACATCACTAAACTTCTCTCATAAATTTCAACAATTGATCCGTACCTTAGAGGAGGAGGATCTTCATTTTCCTGGTCGAAATCATTCTGTGTATCTGGCCCTTGTTCTCCTGGTTCTTCATCAGCTTCAAATTCATGAGCTGACCATAGTTCTTCCAGCCAATAGTTACATGGTTCCTGTTCTACTAAACCTTGTTTATCCCAAGACCATGCTTCATCTTCAGCTACTATCACATCCCGACTCACAATTAATTTTTTTTCCTAAGGATTGTGTACCTAGTAAGCTTGACTATGATCACTGTAACCAACAAGTATACCCTTCTCTTCCTTCTGACTTAGTTTATCTCTCTTCTCATCTAGAATGTGATAATAGCACACAGAACCAAATACCTTCAGATCTTGGACTGAAGCCTTTTCATCATGTCATGCTTCATATGGTGTCTTCCCTTTGATAGCTACTATTGACAGCCTATTTTGTAGGAAAATTGTCGTGTTCACTACCTTTGCCCAATAGGACTTTGGCATATTCTTTTCTAGCAACATACATCAGGCCATCTCCATGATAGTCCGATTCTTTCTCTCAGCCAACCCGTTTTGCTAAGGCGTGTATGACACTGTGAGCTAATGCTCCATCCCAAATTCGTCATAAAACTTGTTGAACTCAAAATTGATATATTCCCGGCCATTATCTAAACGAATCTTCTTCAAAGTGCACCCAGTCTGAGTTTCAGCCAATGCCTTGAACTTCTTGAAGACTTCGAACACTTCATTCTTCCGGCTTAGAAAGTAGACCTAGCACATCCTAGAATAGTAATCAATAAACAAAATAAAATAGCGATTATTATTCAAGGACGTTGTTCATGGGTCCACACAAATCAAAGTGCACAAGCCCAAGCTTTTCACTTGCTCTCCAAGCTTTGTTCTTAGGAAACGACTTCTGCTTCATCTTTCCAAGCTGACAAGGTTCACAAATGCTTTTTCTGGTCATATTACTTAGCCTTTCATAAGACAATTGGTTAGCATCGAGCTCCTCAATAAACGATTCATCCATAGAATTTTCCTTGGCCAATGCTTCTGGCTCATCAATCACTCCACTAGCCTTCAACATTGGTAGACCTAACACCAATTTTTCTTCGCTCATATGATGTAATTTCCTCACGTCACAATGCCCAAAACGCCTATGCCACAATTTAGCAAGGTCTACTCTACCAGAATGCAGTTTCTCGGGCCAAATTTAATGACATAGGAAAACCATTGTTTACCTCGGCAACCTTAACGAGCACCCTTTCCATTGGATCAAGAATGGTACAAGATTTATCTTTGAAAATCAGTGTATACCCATTCCTCATCATCTATGCAACACTTAATAGATTTTGATCAATCCTTGGCACATACAGTACGTTCCTGATCGCCCTCTTTCTTGGTCAATTTGAACAACTATGGTCCCCTGCCTTCTGCTAGCAGTTCTTCACCACTCCCATCGGTGATGAGAGGTCTATCCATGGTATCCAATCATCAAACAATGTTGAATCAAAAGTCATATGACTCGTACATCGGATGTCTATTAACTTTTCTACAGAAAGTTCAATGAAGAAGAATTTCATTTAAGATCTGGAAAAATTACAAATGAATGGAGTACACTTTACTTAAGTAATAACTCAGCTCAACTAATTATGGTTAACCGTAACAAACTATTACACCAGTAAACTAACACAACAACTTTAACCAATTCTACAAATTAGTATGCTAAGCTGGAAGTCAAACTGATGTGCTGGACTGGAGCTAACTGGAGCTTAAACTGATATATCTTCAAGACCCCCCCTCAAGGTGGTGAGTGATAAAGATTAAGCACTCCCATCTTGGAAAGGAAATGATGATGTAAATGACTGCCAAGAGATTTAGTAAGGATATCAGCCCTTTGCTCATTACTAGGAACATATTTAGTCTGAATAAGACCAGCTTGTATCTTCTCGCGAACAATATGACAATCAATGTCAATAGGCTTGGTACATTCATGAAACATGGGATTAGAGGCTATATGCAAGGCTGTCTGGTTATCACAAAAAAGAAGGATAGGAGTTGAACTAGGAAAACCAAGATCATAAAATAATTGTTGGAGCCAAACAATTTCACATACAGCAGAAGCCATGGCCCTATATTCTGCCTCTAAAGAAGACCTTGAGACTGTAACTTGCTTCTTAGACTTCCAAGACAAAAGAGACTTCCCAAAAATACACAAAAACCAGTAATTGATCTCCGAGTAATCAAACAGGAGGCCCAATCTGAATCACAATAAGCATTAAGCTGAATTGTGTTATCAGATGGGAAAAATAACCCCAAACCATGAGCATGTTTAATATACTTAACAATCTTCAAGGCAGCCTGCATATGAGACACCTTAGGAGCATGCATGAATTCGCTTAATAAACTAACTGAATAGCTCAAATATGGACGTGTCATACACAAGTAAAGAAGTTTTCCAATGAGTTGTTGAAAAATAGTAGCATCAGGCAGTAGAGGATCCCCGGAAATAGCAAACTGTTTGTCATAACCTGATGAAGTAAATTTTTTATGCTGATCAAGAGGAATAAAAGAAGGCCTAGCTCCAGATAAACCAGTAGTGGAAATTAATTCTAAAACATACTTTCTTTGACAAACAGTGATGCCCTTAGCTGATCTTGCTACCTCTAAACCAAGGAAGTATCTTAATAGACCTAAATCTTTAAGCTTGAAATGAGAATGAAGCAATTTCTTGGTATGAACTATTAACTCTGAACTGCTGCCCGTGATTACTATATCATCTACATAGACTAAAACTACCACCATTTGAGTATCATGCTTCTTAACAAATAAAGAATAATCAGACTTAGATTGAGAGAAATCTCCTTGAACTAAGGCTATAGTAAGCTTAAAATTCTAGGCACTGGAAGCCTGTTTTAAGCCATATAATGACTTGTTCAGTTTGCAGACAATGTTTGGGGCAGTAGGCTTATGAAATCCTTGAGGCAAAGTCATATAAATGTCCTTAGTTAAATCCCCTTGTAAGAAAGCATTACATGCACCAAGATGATACAATGACCAATCATAGATGGAAGCAAGAGATAAAATAGTCCTCACTGTGACCATTTTCACAACAAGGGAAAATGTTTCCTCATAATCAATCCCTGCTTGTTGTGTATAACTCTTGGCTACTAATCTAGCCTTATACCTCTCTAAGGTTCCATCAGCATTATATTTCAATTTGTACACCCACTTACATCCAATTGGATGCCTATCAGGAGGCAAAGGAACCAAGGACCAAGTGTGATTGTCTTCTAAGGCTTTGATCTCCTTGTACATAGCTTCAATCCAGTTAGGATCTTTGGAAGCTTGAAAAAAACTGGTAGGTTCAGTCAAAGTGGACACTTTGCTAAGATATACTTGGTATTGAGGTGAAAGATGGTTATAGGAAAGGCAATCCGAAATTGGATACTTGACTAAATGAGTTTGTGAGGAAAAGAGAAGTGTAGGACAGTGAAAATCTATAGTCCAATTGGGTGGTTTAGAGACTCTTTGTGATTTTCTTAAAGATACAGGAGGAGGTGCTTCTAGGTTGGCAGAATCAGGTGCAGGATTAAGGCTGGTTGGTGTAGTAGAGGAGTCTACTATAGGTGTTAAACTAGAGGGCACATATGGTTCTATGATTGGAGTAGAGAACTGTCCAGATTATGGATAGGGTTCATATGAGTCAGTTTCTAAGAAAGTGTCTAAGGGAAAAACAGTCTTACTAGTAGTGGGTAATTTGAATGGAAAGACATGCTCATAAAAGACAACATCTCTAGTAACCTAAATAGCATGTGTATCCAAATTGTACAGTAAATAACCTTTCTTTTCTAAAGAATATCCTACAAACACACATGGGGTGGATCTTGGAGAAAATTTATCCTTAGGAGGAAGAATTGTAGAATAAGCAAAACAATGAAATACTTTCAAGTGTGCTAATGAAGGAGATTTGCCAAAAAAAAAATTTCAAAAGGAGAAAGACCTTGCAACACTGTGGTGGGAAATCTATTAATCAAATATACGGTTGTTTTAACACAATAACCCCAAAGTGAATGTGGTAAATTGGATTGGAACTTCAATGCCCTGGCCACTTGTAAGATATGTCTATGCTTTGTTTCGATGCTTTCTTTCCACAACACCATTTTGTTGTGGAGAGTAAGCACAAGAGCTTTGATGGTGAATACCTAACTTTTGCAACAACTCTTGGCAATTTTTATTGAAAAACTCTAACCCATTATCTGATCTAAGACATTTGGGAGTCGCATGATACTGATTTTGGACCATAGTTAAAAACTGTTCGAACACTTGAAAAACATCAGATTTGAACTGAATTAAAAATAGCCAAGTAATCCTTGTGCAATCATCCACAATTGTGAAAAAATATCTAGCATTGCCAAAAGTAGGTATTTTATAAGGTCCTTATACATCCAAATGTAAAAGATCAAAAGCATTGTTTGAAAAATTTTTGCTTAATGGAAAAGGAATTCGAGTTTGTTTTGCTAATGGACAAACTGTACAATGAAAAGAATCATCAACTGGTAAGGTTTTCAACATTTGTTTAAAAACTAAATTTGGTAAATGTCCCAACCTTTGATGCCAAACATGGAAATCTATAAATGAATTAAGAGAAACATTTTTGCGAAGTAAAACTGGAACCATTATTCATTACTGAATTACAAACATCATTAGTAGAAATCATTTTGGCCAGTGTAGGAATGTCAGAATTTTGTAGAATGGATTGTGTACAAGGAGCATAGAAATACATGCCTTGGCTTTGTCTACCAATCCCCTTCAACTTGCCACTCCAGAGGTCCTGGATTAAGCAAAAATCAAGGTAGAATGTAACAACACAGTTATTAGAGGCAGTGAATTTGGAAATTGAAAACAGGTTATGCTTGAAATCAAGCAAATGCAGAACATGATCCAAACTACTTCTTTCATCCAAACGAACAGAACTAGTGTGTCTAATCCTAGTTTTTGTACCATTAGGTAGGCCAACATAAATGTGTGGGCTAGAATCCATGTCGACAAGAGATTTCAACCTAGACAATCTACTGGTCATGTGGTATGTTGCCCTTGAGTCTATTATCCAATTTTCAGTTTCATTGTAACAAGAAAGAAGAGAAATGGATGTGGATGTGGCAATACTTGCTACATTTGCTGAGGCTGACACATTTTCTTTGCTGAGCAGCTGAAGAAGCTATGAATATTGCTCAGCTAAGAGGATTGTTCCAAGTGAATCCTTTTCAGAATCAATAGAGATAGTAGGCGCTTGGATAGTAGACTATGATTGTGCATGATTAGCAGATGATTTCCCTTGGATCCGTTCATCTTTCCTTTAAAGTCAGCTGGATACCCATGTATTTTATAACAGGTGTCTCGTTTGTGACCTGGCAAATGACAAAAGTCACATTCTGTATAGGGTTTTTTGCCTTTGTACTTAGAATTCTTCTGTGTATGTTGTGCATATAAAGCAGTTGTCACATCTAATCTAGTATTAGCTCCCACCAAAATCCTCTGACTCTCATATTGATTGACAATCGAGTAAGCTTGTTTAACTGAAGGTAATGGAGACATCAAGAGTATCTGACTCCTCACCATCGAATATGTATCATTAAGCCCTATTAAGAACTACAACAACCTTTGTTGTTTTAAGTGTTCCAGGTATGCCTTGGCTGATTCACTGTCCGGTGGTGGTAAACTGATCATAGAACTCAGCTCATCCCATAATGCCTTCAACTTATTATAATAAATCACCACTGACATAGTGCACTGTGTGAGATTGACAATCTCCCGGTGAATTCCATAAATCCTAGTTCCACTCACCTTGTGGTATTGCTCCTGCAAATCCTGCCATAGTTGATGTGCACTGGTGGAATGCACAATTCCATTGAAGATTTCTTTCGAAACTGTGTTAAAAAGCCAAGCTAAGACAAGAGAATTACATCTCTCCCATTGTACACCTAAAATCGAATCTGATGGCTTCTTGCATGTTCCATCTACAAAACCTAATTTGTTCTTGGCTTGTAGTGAAACTGTCATAGCCCTACTCCAGATACCATAATTTTCTGTAACTATATGTTGCTCTATCACTAGCATTGTACCAGGTGTGTCTGAAGAGTGTATGTATAGTGGGGAATTTGGATCTATAAGAAAACTAGTATTTACCATTTTAAAGGAAAGAACCTCTGTAACTCACAATTTTAAGCTTCGGAAGAAACAAGAGGAAGATTCCAATTTGTAATTGACAATCAATTTGAAACAAACAAAACTTGCCGTAAAACAAATCCAACAAATTTTGACTTGAAAAAAAGCTATTTTCGACTTAGATTTCAACTTAATTCCAGCTAATAGGAGCTAATTTCCAGCTTACTAACCTTGAGCATTTGAATCAAAACAAGGTCGACCAAGATTGATGAACAAATTCAACCATCTTCTTCCTCTGATTTGAAGATCGAGACCCTAGAGCTATGATACCATAATAACTTTTCTACAGAGAGTTCAATGAAGAAGAATTTCATTCAAGATCTGGAAAAATTACAAATGAATGGAGTACACTTTACTTGAGTACTAACTCAACTCAACTAACTATGGTTAACCGTAACAAACTATTACACCAATAAACTAACACAACAACTTTAACCAATTCTACAAATTAGTATGTTAAGCTGGAAGTCAAACTGATGTGCACTGACTGGAGCTTAAACTGATATATCTTCAATATTGTCTATAAGCCAATCTGACTTATCTTGTCTTCTACCTATGACCATGAACATGTTCTCTCCAAGTTCCTCCTCGGCCACATTAGCTTCCTCGACATTTGGCTATGTATCTGACTGACTGACCATCGGCTTATTACAACTTTTGGCCTTGTGACCGTGTCCCTTGCACTTAAAACACTAAATCTTAGACTTTTTTTTCACCCAACAGTTCTTTTCAGCATGATTCGTCTTTCTATAGATAGGACAAGGAGGAAATTTAAGTTTTCCCCCCTTCTTATCATCAGCATCCCATTTCTTTCGTTGCTTGGCCTGAAACGCACCCTCTGTGCTTCCCTCCATTCTTCCTACAACCCTTTGCTCACTGGCTTGTAGAGAGCCAATAAGCTCATTGATGGTTAGAGTGTCCAAATCTTTGGATTCTTCAATAGCATGCACCTTCGAATCGAATCTGGGAGGTAAATTTGCAAGTATTTTCAGCACTACTTGCTTCTTTGGATACTCCTCACCATGAATCTTCATCTGACTCAGAAGTTCTTGGACTTTGTTGACATATTCCTTCACACTATCAGTCTCCTGCATCCTTAACCTATCAAACTCCCTTCTCAAAGTCACCAACTTGGCTGATTTCACCTTATCTGACCCTTCAAATTCAAGTTGAAGCACCTCCCAAACTGTTTTGGTTTCTTCCTCAATTAGAATTCTTGAGAATATGGCCTCGTTCACCCCACTTTGGATAAAGGCAAGAGCTCTTGAATTTTCTTGAGATTTTTCCTTGTTCTCCTTCTTTTGTGCACTTGTGTACTCGACATCATCTTCCAATTCTTTGTAACCATCACAGACAATATCCCACAAGCCATTTGCCTTGAGCATAATCTTCATTCTTTTAGCCCAATGCATGTAGTGTTTCCTAGAGAAAATCGGTGTAGCAAGCATTGATGGTCCAGATGTATTGGCCATGTCGTTGTTGTGACTTTTTGAATAGGTGGGAATTTTGTTTGAAAGTGTTTCAAGAACAAAAATACAATTGATTAAGGTCTCGAAAGAACACTTAAAGCTCTGATACCATGTTCAAGTTTTTCAGAGAATGACTGATGAAAAACTGATCTATTCATTCATAACAAAAGAGCTCCATTATATAGAAGAAAACAAAACAAGAATACACTTTACGTCACCTAATCTGACTAATATTTAGCTAACACTAGCAAGAAACAAAAAGATAAACATCCACTATCCTAAAAAATTGCATCACATGATTAGCACTTATCCAGCTAATATGCAAACTAAAACTAGTTATTATTGTGCATTGTCCACTTCACACGGTGTTTTGTTAGATGAAATCAGAGTTTTCTTTTAAAACTCAAAAGTCTGACTTCTTAACACTTTCCCATATAGTTCAGCATCAACACTTGCACCGACGCTGCTTCCACTTAACAAGAAAGCAAGAAAAGAGGTCATAAGGAAATAAAAGCAAAACGAAAAAACCAGGTGTGCTTTGTCTTAACCACGTTAAATACCAAATTCCCATGNCCTACTCAAAGATTCTTCTTAAAGTTGGTTATTTCTAAAGTTGTAGACAAGATTGTCTTGTCCCAATAAAAGGTAAGAGCTTAATTTAACCAATAAAAATGAGGTGATAAGATCTCTCCAACCTTAACTTTATCTTTTCCATTTAAATAAAGATGATTGATGGATATGGAGAATCACAGAAAGACACATCATAATCACGTGTTTTGTTACTTTTGTACCAGAAATAATATATAATTATCCCTTAAAAATAAAATTTATAAGCCGTCTAATTACTAATTAATTGATGAACATAACTCAAAGAGATGAATAGCTAGCAATTCATAGAGGCTATAGATCCTAGCGACATTCTTCACCAAAGTATATATATTCATCTTTCCAATCACATTTAAAATTTATAAGCTAATTCAAGTTATCTCCAGTACAAAATATATTAATATTATTTTCATAACATATAAAATCCCACAAGTTTTTCCTTTTCCCTAAATAAAAAGGACACATTTTTTACTCTTTGTTTTAAATATTGTTATGCCTAAAAAGTCAAGGCTGATGTGGGCTCTTGTCAGCAAGAGCCAATCAGAATTTAAGGAGGATTTGTGTCATCTAGACGTTGCCATGTCGCGCAATGATGGAAGATGTATGATTCTCGTCAGTGCAATAGGTGAGTGCCAGACTTGCGAGTGGCTAGGAATCATCCACCTACCTAAGCCTTACGCAATTTAAGGATATCTCTCATGTAGATAACCAATGAGAGGCAGGTTAGGAATTGTACCCCACCTGCCGGACTGCAGGCTCATGATTATTACCTTGAATCCTCCCACTATGAATAGAGGGCTCCTCTCTCATTTACGGGATTGGCTTATCTTAGTCTAAATAGCATACACTCTCCCTCTCTCTCTATATATATTCTTTCTAGATTGTAACTCAGCTCACTTTCTGTGACTTGATTGTAACCATTTATTAATACAACAACAGTGGACGTAGGAACCACTTTTGAGCATCCAAACCACTTTAAAAACCGCCTTTTATTTACTCTCTTGCTACACGTTTCCATATCACATGTAACTTTTAAGCCCGCTTAGCATTTTGCACGTGCGAGTCGTTGGTGCTGAAATATAGCATCAATAGTTTGGCACTAGAATGAGGGCCTAATTTAGTATATGCTCTTTATCAGAAACCTCTGACTAATTGGTCCTACCCATCAGCAAATGGCCCACAGTTTCGAAACTGAACGGACCGACTTTGACAATGAAGAAATTCCCCAAGTACAAGATGACACTTCTCCCAAAGTGCTGCTAGTCCAGTATAGTATCATAGCGGATATTCCCTCAACCTCATAGCTCAACCCAGCCATGATGAGTTACTTGAAGAGGTTCAATAATACTCTCTAAACGGTTAGCCAAAGGCTAGACCGTTTGGATTGGGTCGTGCCGCCATAATCCAATGAAGCGGTGCCAATGCCAAAGACGCATGCAAGTCGCGTGAAAGCGCAAAAAAGGGCAAAAGCCCATACCGCGTGCACTACAATGCACAAAAGTAAGGAAAATAAGTGGCGAGCAGCGGACCAAAAGGCTCCGAGGGACCAGCGAACACTAGTCGTGCAACGGGTAGAATACCCATGGCATTGTGACTCGGCGACATGTTGCAGCATGAGCCGTCCCACACCACGTTGCATGGGCAATCCCACAAGAGTGCAACGTAGGGAGATTCCTAGTGTCGCCGAAATGACGACCTCAATCGTCGTCATGTAGGAAACCCCTGTCATCCACGGGTTGGTTTGGACCACCATGGAGATAGAAAAAACTCCCCAAGCCATTCAATGCCTTCACACGGCCCTAACCAGCGTATGTCAAGGTTCGCCAAAGCTTTCGATCGAGTTGAGGAAGAGCCTGATTTGCGGTCTTTCCTTAACCGTAACCATGAGGGTTAAACCCACGTTGCGGAAAGTGATCCCCAGGCAGCTCTGCTACCTTAGATTGAGGAACTATAACGAGCTTTAGATCAGTTAAGGCTCAACAGAATGGGCGTGGGAAGGTCGTAGAGGTGTCTCCCTTTTCTCCAGTAGTTTTAGATGCTCCTCTCCCATCGAGATTCAAAATGCCCAACATGTGGGCATTCGATGGGAATTCAGATCCGCAGGATCACCTTTATGAGTTCAACGACCTCATGGAACTCCATCAAGTCTCCGACTTGGCCAAATGTCACTACTTAGCAGTAACCTTGACTACCCATGCCAAGCGTTGGTTCAGGTCGCTTCTGCAGGATCAATCAGCTGGCATCAAATGACCTCATCACTCTTGAGACACTTCTAGGCGAACAGGAAGTTTTCAATATCGTTGAGCTACCTGAGCACCATATGGTGGGAGATGGATGAATCCCTCCAGTCTTACATAGACAGATTCCATAGGGAACTCTACAAGGTGGATCATACTCCCGAGGAGTCCGTTCAACTCTCATCATCGAGAGGGTCCGCCTACAGATAGATTTGTGGAAGGAACTGCAATCTGAGGATGATGTTTCCCTCACTCGCTTCTACAACCTCGACGAGAAATATCTTCGAATTGAAAATTCCATGGCTGCTCTCAATCACCACGCCTTCAGTCCCTCGACCAGTGCTCCCGACTAGGATGAGAATATAGAAGGGTTGATTGCAAATGGGCTAATGACGATCAGCGGAAAGGAAAGAAGCAGCAATTTGAGCCCAAGAAATCTTATGCCCTACTTCCTCATCGTGATAGCGACAAAAATCAGTACACTCCTTTGAATGCCTCAGTATCGGCCATTTTGGATAAGTCAGCGGAGGCCAGCTTGCTCGGAGAGCCAGAGCCCATGAAGAATCTCCCATCAGCCCAAAACAGCAAAAAATACTACTGCTATCATCGAGATAGTAAGCATCACACTGATGCCTATCGAGCTCTCAAGTAAGTAATCGAAGACCTCATCAAGTAAGGGTACTTCAAAGAGTATGTCGATGGTCTAACTCCCGTTCGAGAAAAGGAGCAAAAGGAACCAAGGAAGAAGCGTCGAGGTCGTAAGGGTCTCTACTGTGTAGGGATCATCTTTGGAGGACCACACCTCGCAGGAAATTCTCGAGGTGCCTAGGAGAGGTATGCTCGAGAAGCCTATCATGACCCCATGAGTGTAATGAGCACGACCCGCGACTCGTTAAGGTTCGTAGAGAAAAAGAGATCACCTTCTTTGAGAAAGATGTGGTGCGATTGCATCATCCCCATGAGGATGCACTCGTCATCGCACTTGAAATAGGCCGGTGCGAAGTCCATTGAATGTTGGTGAACAATGGAAACGCTGTGAATATCCTGTGTCAACGAGCTTTTGAGAGAATGCAACTGGACAAGGCAGACCTGAAGCCTGCCTTCATCCCTCTCTATGGTTTTACCGGAGATCATCTGATTTCTAGGGGGACGATCTCACTCCTAGCCACGTTGGGTGAAACCAATGAAATGACCAAAATGACTGAATTTTTTGTTGTAGACTGTCCGTCCACCTTCAATAGCATTTTGGGACTACCTCTACTGAGAAATTTCAAGGCATTCACCTCCATCTACCATATGAAAATGAAGTTCCCCACCTCAACAGGGATCAAGGAAGTAAACGAATCTTAACACGAATCTCGCGACTACTACAAAAGAGCAGTGCAGATGGCATGCAAGGGAAAATGAAGGCCAATAGGCATCCTCGAGCAGGCTATGGCGATTAGTAGGATCGAGCCATAGCCTAGCCCAGTAGAGGATAACTTGGATCCTCGCATCCAAGAGTGCCCTCACAGTAGGCCAGCTGAGGACTTATCTAAGGTATCAATTGATCAAAATGAGCCGACCTAAGTGTTAAGAATCGGGAGTAATCTCAACTCTCAGCTTGCCAACAACCTGACAAGCTTCCTTAGAGAGAATATCGACATTTTTACATGGACTCATGCTGACATGACAGGGATCAGCCCGAATGTTATATGTCATGCACTAAACGTTGACAGTGCAGTCAAGCCGGTTCACCAGAAGAGAAGAGCAATGGACCCTAAATGCTATGCTGCCTTGAAAATTGAGGTAGATAAGCTCCTTTTGAACAAGTCCATTTGAGAAGCTTTTTACCTGCGTTAGGTAGCAAATCCGGTCTTGGCAAAGAAGCCTAATGGCAAGTGGCGAACCTATGTTGACTTCACCGACTTCAACAAAGCCTGTTCGAAGGAAAGCTTTCCCTTGCCAAGGATCGACCAGCTCATCGGTGCCACCTCCAAGCACAAGCTATTGAGTTTTATGGACGCCTACTCGGGATATAATTAGATCCCGATGTACTTGTCGGACGAAGAGCATACCTCATTCATTATAGATAGGGGACTGTATTGTTACAAGGTCATGCTCTTAGGCATAAAAAACATTAGGGCAACTTACCAATGGCTAGTTAACAGTATGTTTTTTAAGCAGATCGAAAAGTCAATGGAAGTCTATGTTGATGACATGCTGGTCAAGTCGCATGTCGCCTTAGATCACATAGCGCATCTCTTTGAGATGTTTGACATACTCCGAAGGTACAGAATGAAGCTCAATCCTCTTAAATGCTCATTTGGAATATCCTTGGAAAAATTCCTGGGGTATATGGTTAACTAGAGGGGCATCGAAATCAACCCCGAGAACATCCAAGCTCTCCTTGATATGAAAAGCCCGACCAGCCGAAAACAGGTTCAGAGCCTAAATGGGAGAAGGCCACCTCAGGTTGCTTGTGTTATTCTTAAAGGTAGATGCTGTGACCTCCTCGCAACTCGATTAGCTCGACCAAACGTCATTCAGGACAAGTCAGGTCATGGCATAATCATGAAGTTCTCAAGGTTCAATCCTTAAACCTTAAAAACTGGAGGGCTTCTGTTATGCCTAAAAAGTTAGGACTAACGTGGGCTCTCGTCAGCAAGAGCCAATCAGAATTCAGGGAGGATCTGTGCCATCTAGACGTTGCCACATCGCGCAATGATGAAAGAGGTATGGTTCTCGTTAGTGCAGCGGTGAGTGCTAGACTTGTGAATGGCTATGAATCATCCACCTACCCAAGCCCTACACAATTTATGGATATCTCTCATGCAGACAACCAATGAGAGGCGTGTTAGGAATTGTACTCCACCTGCCGGACTGTAGGCTCATGATTATTACATTGAATCCTCCCACTATAAATAGAGGGCTCCTCTCTCATTTACGGGATTGGTTTATCTTAGTCTAAACAGCATACACACACACACACACTCTCTCTCTCTCTCTCTATTCTCTCTAGATTGTAACTCAGCTCGCTATCTGCGACCTGATTGTAACCATCTATTAATACAACAGCAGTGAACGTAGGAACCACTTTTGAGCATTTAAACCACTTTAAAAACCACATTTTGTTTAGTCTCTTGCTACACATTTCCAGATCACGTGTAACTTCTAAGCCCGCTTAGCATTTTGCACGTGCGAGTTATTGGTGCTGAAATCTACCATCAATAAATATGGTATGTCTAACAAGTTCTTTTTGCTACAAAAATCTAGAATCTAAGCAAGTATTATATAATCACTTTATTCTTGCTTTAATATTAATTGAACTGGTTACAATAATAATAAAAATTGAAAAGTAATAAGAGAAAGAAATAAACAGTTTGGTTATTCCTTTTGCCCCCTTCATGCAATAAACAATAAATTCCAACAATCTGCTAAAGAGGACCTACAAAAAGCATTAGTTTACCAAATTAAGGAAGTTGTCATATGCTCAGTTGTACCCTTTATTCAGTGACTTGGGCTAAACATACAACATTTCTTTACTTTTCCTTTATACTATACTTCTTCCTAAAATTTCCGTTACTTCTAGCTCAAACAACAAATAAAGCAACTAATTTATGGCCCCCTCTAGGCTTTATATACTTACTAAAGGATCCAGTACTTGAAGAACAATTTCGCAAATCGAAATCCAAAGACTTTGCGTTATTCATCATGTAAGTGATGGTTGAGTGTAATCTTTATATTGTCTTTGAAAATTTTCTAGTTTAGTGTTACAGCATTAAGTGCTTGTTTGCGGCCAGAATGTTTGAATTGTTATGAACTACGTATTTATGTGTTGTTCAGGCCACAGGACTCTCAGTCTTAGCCTCAGGCTTCTGATCCAGAGAGCGGGAGTGATTCGACGCAACGTGAAAATCCTCAAGGCGTTCCGAATAAATTACTAGCTTGTCATTGTCATGCCTGGCTACCCGGATCCTAGCGAAAAGCTCTAAATTAGATGAGTGACAAAATTGATATAGAATCCAATTGGGGACGCGGGCTATATATTGCGACTTATATGATTGTTATCTTAATGCATCATTTGCATTACTACGCTTATGAGATCAATTTAGATCAAAATTGCCTCGAAATCGTCAATGAATTAAACCCTACGATTGGTCTTCTTTAATTTTTATATGTCGCCCAATTTTTTAAAAAAAAAAAAAAAAATCTCTTTTCATCTAATCGTAGTTCTAAAACCGCGATCGAACATTTCTTTTTTATTCAAATACCAGTACTGTTCATGACATTGGTAAGCTCATCAATTCTTCGACGGCTAATTTTGTTTTATAATCTCATCATATATAAAAAGAGTTGTTTAAACTTGCTGTGGTTTGTGCAGACGGTACTTCCTTATTTTACAACGGGAGAGAAAGACCAGATCTTTTTGGCGGCAGCTGACTTGTTTCTTTTCGAATATATTCCACTGGTTATTGGACTGTCATTAACTATTAGAAGAGCTACTGAGGTTAATGGCTTTTTTGCCGAAGCTAAGTCGGTCCTTTTTTGCCGAAGCTAAGTCGGTCAAAGCTGTATTCAATCTTTTTCTTTATCTGCTTGGAGGTCATGTAGGTTACTTCAGTCACCACTTATTTTTGCTAATTTACTTGGGTATCACAGATGTCACGATTTATAAACAAAATTCAACACATAAACACTACATTGGTATTCAATTTAAAACTCATCATATGTATTCGGTCTGTTTGATTATTGGTTTTATAACAATCTAAAAATTGCATTTGATATTATGTTGTCAAATTGTTTTCAAATTTAAGAGTTTCGAAAATGTGTTTGGCATGCATAAATAGTATCTTAAAATAGTGAAAAATTAGAAATAGGTGATAATGGGCCATTAATTTGTCATAGTGTTGATGCGGTATTCCGTTGAGAGTGTAATATTTAATGAATTAACAATCATTATTAATTTTTTTTTCCTCAGTTGTTTATATCTTTCTAATTTGATCCTCAATATAGGTATTTGGAGAGTTATGGTACTCTTTTGCTATCGATAAAATTTTGCAGTGTTGGAGGGAAGACTATTTTTTGAGGAAGAATTCTAAACCTGATTCTTTCCTCTGTCGTGATATGCATAAGAATAAAGAACATGTACGTTGTCCTAAAATAACACAAAATGTTAGCGAGATCACAGCGTTTGGAATATTCAACGAAGCTATTAAGTCTGGTATTGTGGAAAGGAAACCCCAATTTCTGCGGAAGATTTTATACTGTTTTAGATGGGGCATGCAAGCTCTCAGGTTTGTGCATATGAAAATATAATTACTTATCTTTTTTTAATTTAATATCTTAAATAATTTTTAATAAATACAGTTTGGAAGCTATTAATTTTTAATTCGATTTTTTGATAATCTATTTTATAAAAGGATATCTTGAAAGTATCAACTGATTTTTAAATGTATGATTCCTAAAATAACTTCATAAAATAATGTAAGTTAATAAATTTTGAGCTTAATTGTTATATGGAATACTTCGCAGTTGTTTCGGCCAAAACCTGACACCAACTACAGATTACATAGAAAATATTTGTGTGGTTTCTGTAGTCATCTATTCCACGGTGCTGTTTGGCTTTCTAATCGGAAATATGCAGGTTGGTACATGTTCTACTTATCTCAACATGCTTAAGATTGAAGCTCATTGAATCTAATTTCCACTAATGGTGCTCCCGGCAAAACAGACATATCTGACATCCGAAGAAAAATCAGTGAAACAAACGGTAAAGCAGTGGATGTCCCTCAAGAAGCTCTCCGAAAATCTGCAAAAGAAAGTGATAAAAAATTTACAGCTAGACAAAGGACAAGAAACCAAAATTCTTCACATAGAAACTTTTTTTCAATGTTCTTCCTGAGAAGCTCCACCGTGACATAAAGATCGAGCTCTGCTTACCAAAGTTGAAGAAAGTGAGTACCTTGGTTTATACTTTCTATAGCCTTGATTGAACTTCAAATGTTTTCGCTTCATTATTCCATCATTTTCTTCTCTTTGATCTTCTACAGAAATATACAAGATTGTGTATATATATATTGTCATTGATGCTTCCTATATTAAAATTTAATGAATCAATAAAATTATTAGAATACAAATAAGCACAGGAATTATATTAATTTTTCTACTGAAAAAATTAGCAATATAAACAAAATTCATACCCAAGTACGAATCATTTATACCACAAGCCAACATAATTATGTCGTTTCTGAATTTTTTCTGTCTCACAAATTATTTGGATAACAAAGAAGATACTTTGTCAAGTAAGTTGTAATTTTTAAAATTTTATTCTAAATCCACTAGTATTGTTTAGATAGTGCTTGCACTCTCATCTTTATATGTATGTCAAGGTCAAAGAGTTTCAAAACTGGGGACAACCAACGTTGATGGAACTATGTTATCGTATCAGGCCAACTTTCTATGTTGATGGCACTCTCGTTGTCCGGGAGGAAGACCCAATTAGCGAGATTCTCTTCTTGCTTAATGGTGAACTATGAACATACACCTCTAGGGCCACAGATCATTGCAACAACGACAAGGATCATTTGGTAGATCGTGATTTCTTTGGGAAAGAACTTGTCACTTGGGTTCAGGGCCTTCAGGCTGATTCCTACACATCCAGGCCCACAGCCTCAACCAAAACTGTCAAGGCGCTTAAGAATTTGGAGGCCTTTCTTCTTACTGCCTATGACTTGAAGGAAATATTCATTAAGCACAAGCAGCAGCCAGCAGAACCTGAGATTAATCCTGAAGGACAATAGATTAGTTAGATGAGTTCTGATTTATGACATTTCAGGTGTGAGATAATAAACATTCTACAATTTATACTGATTATTTAAGTCTCTAAATGCCCTTAGAAAGGTTTTACTGGAGGCAGAAATAAATGAACTTAAGATTTCGCTTTTATTTAATAAAGAAGCCTAGTTGATGATCATTAACTTAACCATGTGCATAACTGACCAGAGCATTACGAAACTTTCTATTTTTGGTCACATAAAGAGAAATTATTTGCGGGAAGAAAGTTAAAACAAATTACGCCATAAATGGCGCATAATCATAATTCTCACCAGGTGATGACAGTTTAAAAGACTGCAGATTTCTATATGATCATTTTTAAGACACATTATACATACATAATTAAAGGTCAGTTTGGGTTATTATAGTTTCTCCCATATATAATCACTTGTTCTATTAGCTATTATTCCAAATGTGTTTTGTAAACACATTTCAAAAATTGATTATAGAACTTAAATGTATATTATTACATAATATGTTTTATTGAAGTACTTTAAAAGCAGTATTTTGTAGCTTTTAGATTTCCAAAGTTGCTTTTGGGGGAGCTAATTACAAAAACACCCCAAAGTAAACTTAAATTATGAATTTCTTTTATTAAAAATATTTAAAATGAAATAATAAAAATATATTGAAAACTGAAAATTTGAAAACTAACTAGCGGAGTCATCCGCTAGTATTACCAACGGCGGGTAGTTTTACAGTGTTGATACCTTTACACTTGCTGGCTGCCGATCAATGTGATGTGCCGACAATGTTGTCAACCACGACGACATTTTGTCATAGAAGAAATTTTGTTCACACGTTATGGCAAAACACTGCAGTATTTGATGATTGAATGGTTAGGTGTATGTTTCAATTCATAACTTGTTAGATATGAGATATAAAAACATTCTACAGGTTAATTTTTTATTCGAGTCTCTTTAAATGTCTCATAAAGCTGTATCGTTGTGTCAAGACTGATTTTCCCGATTGAATTGGCTTAATTCTATTTTAATTTCTTTTTGGGTCTATGGATGGTAATACTTTTTTTTTCTTGTACATAAGTATTTTGTTTATTACTAATAGTCTATTATTTAGCTTATGACCTTATTAATAATGTTGAAGTGAAGACTAAAACGATATCGCTTTGGGGATTAATGAAACGCTGCATTTTGAGACAACATGAGTTGGATCCTGATCGTCGAACAAATTCAGATCTAACGGCTGAGGATTGTCAAAGGGGTCAACGGTATATAAGTGTATGAATAGTTAGAATCCTCACTTTTACACTCAGGTTGTCATCTCTGCTAAAATAGATTCAGATTGCTCTCATTTTAGGGATTTATTCAAGTTTTGGAAATCTTTGTAACTTGGGTTGATTGGTTAAGTGGTTAGTTAATCAGAAGAGTTTTTGCTCTTGTGCTTGAGGATTCTTGGTGAGTTGCTGTAGGGTTAGTTACTGAGAGATTTTCGTGTAATTTGGTGAGGGTTTGATCTTGGTTTGTACTTGTTCTTGTTTGGACCTTGTTCTAATAAGTAGTGCAGTGAGCTCTCCTATTTCCGGAGCTCAACGTGGACGTAGCTTATCCAATCTAGATAAGTGAACCACGGTAAAACTCGTGTTGTAATTGTTCTTAATTTCTTGTGTTTGTGTGTTCAGTGTTTATTTGTGTTAATCGGTTTGTTACAACAGTGGTATCAGAGCTAATAGACGTTAGGATTGATTGATTTGTTAAATCATCGATTGATCTAGGGTTTTCTGGAAGTCCTAGGGTTTGTCAAGATTTGGGGCTTTTCAAATTGGGTCATTCCTTGGTGATCTAGAGTTCTATGGTTCAAAATTCTAGTTGTCAAATCATCGTTTAAGGAGGTTCTTTGAAGATTTAGGTCCTTAGCAATCTTTCAAGAATCAATTTGTCTATACTGTCTAGGGTTTCAATTAGGGCTTCTTGAAACATACACAATCTCTAAACGCAAAAACCTATATCATGACAACCACACGACTGGAAATCACACAATACGATGGAAAGATTGATTTCGGCAGTTGGAAGAAAAAGATAAAGGCACTACTTTCTCACAACAAGGTGAGGATTGCCATGGAGAAGGACACATCCAAGTGGCCTACCAGAAGAGAAACTGAGGAAGAAGGATGAGATCAATGAGGAGGCATATAATCTCATAGTGATGAACCTGTCAGACAATGTCATGTGGAAGGTAGATGGGCTAGAAACTCCTCTAGCCCTATGGGGTAAACTCGAAACCTTATACTCTTTACAGTCTGCACCTACTACTGCGTTTTTAAAGGGTGCCCTATTTTCATACAAAATGGATAGTGCTAAGTCAATTGAAGACAACCTAGATGAGTTTTTAAAAATGACTATAATCCTTAAAGGAACTGACCAAGAACTAGGGGACACCAGGTTAGCAATGATCTTACTGAATTCGTTAACAGATGAATACCTAGTAGTAAAGAATGCTCTACAGTATTTAGGGATTGTGCCTAGTCTAGACTTGACAGTTGCAGGACTCAAAGCTAGGGAACTAGAGCTAAAAGTCCAGAAAAGATCAGGTAGCAATCTGTTTGTAAGAAGTAGGCCAGAATCTAGCCAAGCAGGAAAAAATAACTAGTATCAGCAGGGGTCTAAGAACAAGAAAACGTGGAAGGGTAATAATAAAACAAAATTAGACACAAGAAAGTGGTTTTTTCTACAATAAACCTGGTCATATCAAGAGGAACTGTTTTGATTGGTTAACGAAACAAAAACAAGGAAACACTAAAAGCAGCCTGACCTCTAATAAGAACCAACTGGATGAGCCTGAGGTCTTGACAGTGTCAACATTTGACACTGCTAAGGAATAGGTCCTGGACTTAGGCTGTTCCTTCCATATAAGCCCAAACAAGAACTGGTTTCAGGACCTAAAATCACATGAAAATGAGACTGTCGATATGGGTAACAATCAGGCTTGTAGTGTTAAGGGAATAGGCAGTGTAACCCTTAAACTAATTGATGGAAAACTTGTAAAATTAACCAAAGTTAGGTATATCCCTGATTTAAAAAGGAATCTCTTCTCCTTAGGGACCCTAGATGAGGCTGGATATTCCTATAAGGCTAACAATGGATGCTTGTATGTGTATAAAAATTAGAACCTGGTTCTTAGAGGGGAAAAGAGAAATGGTCTATATATACTCTGTGGAGACTTTCATCCTAAATGTTTCAATACTGTATTGCCTCCTACTAAACAGTCTGTAACTAAAAAATGACACCTTAGGTTGGGGCATATGAGTCAGAAGGGTATGAATACCCTTAACAGTCAGGGAATGTTTAGCAAGGACACTATCTCTAACCTGGAATTCTATGAAAACTGTGTGTTAGGAAAACAACACAGACTGAGTTTCTCAAAGGAAACTCACCTACCCACAAATTGCCTAGAATACCTACATTTTGACCTTTAGGGACCTGAAAGAATTAAATCTCATGGTGGAAACAGTTACTTCTTATCAATAGTTGATGATTACAATAGAAAAGTGTGGACATTTCTTTTGAAGACCAATGACCAAGCTTTGACCAAGTTTAGAGAGTGGAAATTGCTAGTAGAAAACCAACTAGGTAAGAAATAAAGGCTTTACGAACTGATAATGGGCTAGAATTTTGCAACACTGAGTTTGATAATTTTTGTAGAGAGCATGGCATTCTAACGCATAGAACTGTTGCTAGGACCCATCAACAGAATGGGTGGCAGAAAGAATGAATAGAACCTTAGTTGAAAAGGTTAGGTGCCTTTTATTTACCTCAAGGCTACCAAACACATATGAGGGGGGGGGGGGGGGGGGGGAAGCTCTTGCTACTACAGCCTACCTTGTAAATAGAAGCCCATCCACTACCATCAATGGGAAATGCCCCGAAGAGATCTGGTCTGGGAGGAGACCAGACTTAAGCCACCTAAGAATATTTGGGTGTGCTGCTTATGCACCTATTGTGGGAGGGAAACTTGAGCCTAGGTCCACCAAATGCATATTCCTAGGTTACCAAGAAGGCACAAAAGGGTACAGATTATGGAATAGGGAGACTCCATGGGTAAAAATAATTGTAAGTTGAGATGTAGTGTTCAATGAGAGTGAATTCCCTTGTAAAGCTTCTGTCACTAATCAAGGAATCATTAGAAACACTGAAACATCTCCCAACCCTATAGA